CTTGGGGCCTTTCAGGTCCAGCTTGGGACCCTTGATATGCACCTGGGGGCCCTTGACGTCCACTTTGGGCATCTTGAAACTGGGCATCTCCACCTGGGGCGGGTGCCCTTTGATGCCGGCTCCCTCGGGCAGGTGGCCCTCCAGGAGCCTCACATCCACTTGGCCAGCCTGGACCTCCAGATCGGTGGAAGGGGGCTGAATGCTTATGTCCGTGGTCTTGAAGTCCACCTTCGGCGCAGACACGTCCACTGAGGCCTCCATGGACTTGCCTGGGGCGGACAGCCCGAACGATGGCATCTTGAACTTAGGTATTTTGAATTTGCTGTCTTTGGCGGTCACGTCCTTGTCGGCCAGGGACAGGTCCCCCTCCAGCCGCACGCCATCCAGCTTGACTCCTGGGGTCTGGTAGTCCACCTCCACGCTGGGCAGAGACACCTCCACATCGGGGGCTGTCACCTCCGCCTTGGGGCCTTTCAGGTCCAGCTTGGGGCCCTTGATATCCACCTGGGGCCCTTTGAGATCCACTTTGGGCATCTTCAAACTGGGCATCTCCACCTTGGACAGGTGCCCTTTGAGACTGGCTCCCTCGGGCACGTGGCCTTCCGGTAGCGTCACATCCACCTGGACAGCCTGGACCTCCAGGTCAGCGGAAGGGGGCTGAATGCTGAGGTCAGTGGTCTTGAGGTACCCCTGCATGGAGGGGAGGCTCACGTTGGCCTCCATCTTTGGCACAGACACGTCCACCGAGGCCTCAATGGACTTGCCTGGGGCCGACACCCCGAAGGATGGCATCTTGAACTTGGGCATTTTGAACTTGTTGTCTTTGGCGGTCACATCCTTGTCGGCCAGGGATAGGTCCCCCTCCATCCCTGCACCGTCCAGCTTGGCCGCCGGGGCCTGGATGTCCACCTCCATGCTGGGCAGAGACCTCTCCCCGTCAGGGGCCGTCACCTCCGCCTTGGGGCCTTTCAGGTCCAGCTTGGGGCCCTTGATGTGCACCTGGGGGCCCTTGAGGTCCACTTTGGACATCTTGAAACTGGGCATCTCCACCTTGGGCAGGTGCCCTTTGACGCCGGCTCCCTCGGGCAGGTGGGCCTCCGGGAGCGTCATGTCCACTTGGCCAGCCTGGACCTCCAGGTCGGCAGAAGGGGGCTGAATGCTTATGTCCGTGGTCTTGAGATCCCCCTGCATGGAGACAAGGCTCACGTCGGCCTCCACCTTCGGTGCAGACACGTCCACCGAGGCCTCGATGGACTTGCCTGGGGCCGACACCCCGAAGGATGGCATCTTGAACTTGGGCATTTTGAACTTGCTGTCTTTGGTGGCCACATCCTTTTCTTTCAGAATTTGTTCCTTTTTCAAGGGTTTTTGGTCATGTGTTAATTGTAATTTTGTTTCGTTTGTCATTGAGTCTCTATCCTCCTTATCTTTTAGTCCTGCCTCAGTGCCTCCCTGTTCTCTTCTGTCGGCCGTTGCTATGGCGTCTCCTGCCCTTTCCTGCTCTGTGTCTTGTGTGGCTTTTTCTCTCCCTGTCTTTGCCTGCTTGCTTGGCGACCATCCTAAGGATGGTATCTTGAACTTGGGCATTCTTATCTGTCCTTCTCTGTCTTCCCCGACCTTGTCCTGTTCCTGGGTGATCCTTGTCCTCTGTAGTCCTTCTCCATCTCCTTCACCCTCTTGTGCTTCTGCGTATGTGGCTGGCTCCCTGCCTGGTTCCCACCCTGCTCCTTCCACCTCCTCAACATTCAGGCCAGTACCCACTTTTGAGGACAGGTCCTGTCTCTTCCCTCGCTGTGGGGCACTAATGCGCCTTTCTCTTTCTGGCTCTTTTTCGGTGGAAAATGCAAATTTTGGTGTCTTTAAATCGTGTACTCGCACCCTAATTTTGGGTGGGCCGATCTGTGTGCCTCCTTCGGTTGTGTCTCTCAAGGACAGTCTGGCGATCCCAATTTCCAGGCTCTGCAGTCCCTCACCTTCACCCTCCCAGCTCATTCCAGGAGTTGGCTGGGCCCTGGGCTTCCTCTGGGCCACTGCTGTCTCCTGTGCCTGCCCCTCCAGGGTCTTTCTGTGGAACCTGGCTGCCCTGAGTCCCCCTTCCTCAGGGGTTCCCTCACAAGCTCTAGGGTCACCCAGCTCTGTGGGCAACTGTGTCACTTCTCGATCCTGTTCTGCCCTCTCCTCTCTCCTGCTGCCTGTGGCAGCCCCAGTGTCCTCAAGGCTATCACCCCAGGGCCCCAACTCTTCCAGGACCCCAGCACGGCCCACCCCTCTCTGGGACCCCCTGCCTGGCTCTCCTGTTGATGAAGGGCCCTGTCCCGAGCCTGTCCTGAATCTCAGGTTGAGGAACTTCCGCCTCCTCTGGCTGCCCGGCCCTGCCTTCTGCTCTTGGCGCTCCACTGCGAGCTGGGCCTCTGTGTCTGTGCTTGTAGGGGACACGTCATGTGCGTCCCTGGGCTCGCAGGCCTCTGACGAGCTGTGTGACCTCTGGGGTCCCGGCCCCCGCTTGCTCGTTATGGATTGAAATTTTGGCCAAGAGAGCCTCTGCCTCTGGGTCTGCCTGCCCCTCCCCACCCTGGGTTTGGAGATGAGTCTCTCTTGGTCCCCATCTCCTTCCAGAGTTTTCGTGGGGGTGTCTCTGCGTCCATCAGCGACATCCGTGTCCTGAAACATAGGGAGAGGGAATCTGTTGGTACCAGTCCAAGAAGCCTGAGACCCTGGCCCAGGGACAGATGGATTGGGAGTGCTATCCCCTCCCAGGCTCAGCCAGCAGGGTAGTGAAGCCAGCTGGGGCCCTGCCCCACAGTCATGGTGGTCTCACCTCCTTCTCCTTGCCCTGTGGGCCATGCTGGGCATCGCTGGAGGCCCACTCTTCATCCTGTGGAGCAGGGAGCTGCCGTCTGATTTTGAACTGAACCCTGTACGGCTCTGAGTACTGAAGGATTTTGAGAGCATCTTCATATTTTATGTTGTCAAAGAACACGGTTGCACTGAGCAGCTGATCCCCTAGACCAAGAAAGAGCAGCCCCAGGGCCGGGTGTGTGAATGAGATGGGGTCTGCTGTCTTGCCTTGGCTGGCGAGGAGGGCCCCAGGAGCATGAATAGGGGGGATCCCACTGAGTCTGCCCCACCAGTCCCCCACCGAGTGTCTCAGGCACAGGGAAGGTGGATGGGGTCCCCCATTTTACTAGATGCAGTGGGTGATCCCCACCTCAAGCAGCTGAGCAGAGACGTGAGGAGGTCGTCCTAGGCTCCAGGTGTGGTTCCTATCCCCCTCAATGCCCCCCTCCAGGTCCCTCCCATTCTGGTAGGGAGAATGGGGACCCCAGGGATGGAACTGCCATGGCACCTTCTCTCAAGTTGAAAAGCTTGGCAGCTGAGGAGTCCTTCAGCACTTGCTTGACAAAGATCCCCTTGTCCCCACCGCCTGTGACACTGTAGCCACTGGCTCCCGCCTCCACCTCTGTCTTCAGCGTCACCTCTGTTGCCTCCTGCATGGACTGGAGCAGAAGCACATCAGGGCCATGGTGAGCATGTGCCAGTCCCACCGTAAGCATCCCTGCTGGGGCCTGAGTCTCCAGAGGATGGGCACCCCACCATCCTTCCCATCAGCCCGGACAACACAGAGCAGTGTGGGCTCAGCTAGCTGTGTCTGAGCTCTGGAGGAAGCCAGCTGGAAGCTTCCAGAACTCTTGTCCCCACCCCAACCTGCCAGGACTTAGGCACAGCCTGTCCATGCCACTAGGCCCAGCAGGGCACCAGGAACAGGGCAGAACGACTTCTGCTTTCCCTGTGGCCAGAGGTTCCCTTTTCAGCTCCTTTGTGCATTCTTCACAAACACGTGAAGTATGAATTGTGTGCAAGGCACCTGATGCTCAAGACAAGGAAGAACAGCAATGCCAAGGAAAATACGGGACATTGGGTGCCGCCTGCCAGACCTGGGACAGGATGGGGCCTGTGTCCTGTAGAGCTCTTGGACTGCTGGGGCGTCCAGGGGAAAAAAAAAAAAAAAAAAAGAACAGTTGCTTTAGAGGCAGAGTCCCCTCATCACCGGGTGCTAGCAGAGTCTAGCACCTTCCATAGTCACATGGCCTGGGTGCTTGACTAGCCCTTTCAGCCCCGTGACTTGAATATGCAACAGACACCAGCACTGCCCCATTGTACAGAGGAGGAAATTGAGGTCTGCACAGCCAAGTCTACCTGGCTGGGAGCTTGGCTATGCATCAAACTCTACACCAGGGAGGAGTGGGGAGGGTCAGAACCAGATTTAGCCTTCTGGAGCCCCTGCGTTTCCCCAGGCCCGACAAGGGGGACAAGAAGACCCCTCCTCCCCAGGGCACCGGGCACACTGCCAGCCTCTTTGCTCCTCCCCCGCCTGCTCTGACCTCAAACTCTCTGGCTGGATCCTTTGTGGACGGACACACCTCTGTGAGCCTCAGCTCCTTCTGTACCCACCTCTGGACGACTCATCCTGAAAAATGTCCGTGAGTCCCCTGAATCCCACTTCCACCAGGACCTCCGTCTCCCTGCCGAACCTTGCCTGCCGGGAGCGTCTTCCTGCAGCCACAAGTGTTGCGAGTTAGGCACCTGCCCCAGCTCAGGGACAGGGAGGGGCACAGGTAGGCTGGTGCCAGACCAGGAGCCCTCCCGTCAGAGGGGCCCAGAACCTCCAACATGCAGCTGTGTGCAGAGGGAGCCGGGCCCCTCCAGGCACATCCACAGAGAAAAAGCAACTCTCGGCCTTCCTGCTTCCTGACAGGGCCCAGCCTACAGCCCACAGCGCCCACAGGGAAGCCCCACAGCAACTAGAGTTTCATACGGAGGGAGATAAGAAATTCAAATTGTACAAAAAGGAATCCTTTCATAGACATGGCTCCTCTGATCCCTTCCCTAAGTCCTTGTCTCCAGAGGTAGCCATGGGGCCTTGTCCCCAAAGACAGCATGAGTGTGTTACACAGGTTCAGGTATGCACACAACCTGTGCCCCTGAAACACACACACAGTAACACGAGGCCTGTCCCCATCAGCCCACACGCATGCTCACAAGAGCTGCAGGCACCTCCATCCCACTGTGCCCTGGCCAGCCGCAGGGAGGAACCCAAGGGCACAGAGGAGTCTGAGAGGACATCTGAGTGGGCACTGCCCAGTGGGCAGCGAGGCAGGGCGGCAGGGCTGCACAGACATGAGTGAGTTGCCCACACAGGGCGATGCAGGGGGAGAGCTGGGTGCCTGTGGGGCTCTGCCCAGCAGGCTCACCTGGAGTCCAAAGTCAGCAGCCTCAGTCGTGTATTCGTAGACAGGTGAGGACCCCTGTGGCCGTGGTCGAATGACCTCATCTGCAGGCCCTTCAGTCACCTGACAGGAGAGAATCCAGTTACTTTTGCCACTCAGTTCTCCCAGGGCCCAGGCAGAATGGGGACAGGGTATGAGGAGGACACACTTCCTCCTGCTCTCACTTACAGAGTGGTCATCTTCAGTTTCTGCATCTGGCTCCCTGGGCTGCAGCTGTCGGCCAGACACTGCAGAGAGAGTGGCTGTCAGTGGAGATAAGCAGGCTGGGGGAGCAGATCGGGGCCCGGGGGAGGGAGCCAGGAGTGTATGTACACTGTGGAGGTGGCATAGTCCTGTCCTGGACACTGGATCTGAGAGCAAATTCAGGGGCCAGGGGAGGATCCACAGCTATTGGGCTGGAGAGGCTGTGGCATCAAGTCAGGTAGCACTGAATTGAGACTGGACTTATTCCAAGTTGGAACAGATTTAGTCCAAGAAAGTTACTAAACAAACACAAGGTGTTAGTTATTGTATAACCACACCCTGGGAGGATCAGAATCCAGAGTTGCTGGAATGTATTATCTAAAATGTCCAGCAGCCAGCAAAAAATTACAAGTTACGCAAAGAAACAAGAATGTATGATCCATACTGAGAAAAAGCAGTGAATGGAAAGTATCTCTAAATGTCCATCAGTGTTGGGTTTAATACAGACTTCAAAGAAACTATTAAAAGTTTGTTCAGGCTGGACGCGGTGGCTCACACCTGTAATCCCAAAACTTTGGGAGGCCGAGGAAGGTATATCACCTGAGGTCGGAGTTCAAGACCAGCCTGACCAACATGGAGAAACCCCATCTCCACTAAAAATACAAAATTAGCCGGGCATGGTGGCACATGCCTGTAATCCCAGCTACTCAGGAGGTTGAGGGAGGAGAATCGCTTGAACCTGGGAGGTGGAGGTTGCGGTGAGCCGAGATTGCACCATTGTACTCCAGCCTGGGCAACAAGAGTGAAACTCCATCTCAAAAAGAAAAAAAAAAGAGTTTGTTCAAAACACACAAAAAAAACCATGTTTAAAAAATTAATGGAAAATATGTTAACAATAATGAAGAAAGAATCTCATAAAGAAATAAAACTTATTTTTTAAAAGGCAAGCAAAAATTCTGGAGTTGAAAATTTACTACTGGGGTTCACCAATAGATTTGAGATACCAGAAGAATCATCAACTTGTAGATTAATATAAGTTAACCAATTTGAAGAACGGGGGTCAGGAGGAAGGCTAATTGAAGAAAAACAGAGCCTCAGAGCATTAACCATAAGATAAAGAGACAGAAGAGAGAGTTGAAGAAGTGATGGCTGAAAACAATCTGCAGAATCCAAGAAGCTCGACAAAACCTAAGCAGGAGAAACACAGAGATCCACACCTGGACGCATCATAGTCAAAATGCTCAAGAGAAAGGGACCTATCACATAATAAGGGCATAAAAATACAACTAACATCTGAATCACATCAAAACCGTAGAGGCCACAAGAAAGTGGAGCAGTATATTCAAAGGGCTGAAAGAAAATGTTGTCAACGAAGAATTTGATATTAAGCAACCTATCCTTCAAAAATAAAGGCAAAATAGTCTGGGCATGATGGCTTATGCCTGTAATCCCAGCACTTTGGGAGGCTGAGGTGGGACGATAGCTCGAGCCCAGAAATTCAAGGCCAGCCTGAGCAATATAGTAAGATCTCATCTCTACAATTTTTTTTTTTTTTTTTTTTTGAGACGGAATCTCACTCTGTCACCCAGGATGAAGTGTAGTAGCACGATCTTGACTCACTGCAACCTCTGCCTTCCGGGTTCAAGTAATTCTTCTGCCTCAGCCTCCCGAGTAGCTGGGACTACAGGCACGCGCTACCATGCCCCGCTAATTTTTGTATTTTTAGTAGAAATGGGGTTTCACCATGGTGGCCAGGCTGGTCTCAAACTCTTGACCTCATGATCC